GGCACGGTACACGGCAGGAGCCCGCTCAGGGGTCCTTTTCTCCCCGTGCTCGCGTGTGATGCTGCGTCACGAGATGTTTTCTTCCATCCAGCCACCCCTGCCTGCTGCGGGACGTGTGCGGTGTCACACCCCTGGCCAGCAAGGAGGCAGGGTGGGAGGCAGAGGTCGCAGGGTATTCCCCTTGTCAGGCTGGCGTCCTCCTTCCTCCTTGAAGCAAAGCCCAGCAGAAATGAGTGTGAGTAGTGTGTCACAGTGGAGAATTCAGACGTTAACCCTTGAGCATTTAACAATTTGTTATTAATTAACCATTGTTATGCAACTTCTTTATCGCCAGGCAATCTTTGGCATTGGCGGCCGGGGCAGGGGTGCAGTGAGAGCTGGCATGGCTAGCCCTGCTGTGGGAGGGTCAGGCGGTGAGAGCAGGGAGCGAGTGCTAGTGGTTATCAACCCGTCCTTTGCTCCTGGCTGGACAAGGTTGTTCTCGCCAACACTTCGTGCTGGTGCCTTTGCTTGGACTTTTGTTTGCAGAAGGTTTCGATCCAGGGCAGGACAAGGAACAGGAGTTACTGGGGGAGGAGCAGGGACATCAGAAGGAAGGGGCTGCAGGGCAAATTTCCTGGGCGTTTTACCTTTGAAGCAATTTTAAAACATTAATCACATAGGCAGCAGATGGTTGCTAAAGCGTTGCAGCCACGCTGCAGGCACAGTGGCTGGAGGGAGGGCAGCGCGCCCTGGGCAGGAGGGCCGGCAGCTGGGGAAGCGTGGCTGTGGCTGGAGGAGAGGGCTGGCAGCCAGCAGGCTCGCGTCTCTTGCTGCTTTCGAGGTGGGCGCTGCCAGCAGTGAGAGCAAAGATGAGGCATTGGGAGGTGTTAATGAGTGCATCGCTCACGCTGTGTGTTGGTCTCTCCATGCTCCCTCATGGAGCCCTACACCCCTGTGGCATGGCCCAGAGATGATGCCGTGGTGGGCAGCAGGGCAACTCCCCACAGGCAGTGAGTCATAGGGAGGGGAAACACCTGCCCTTGAAATTGCCGCTGCTGCTGTAACCCATGGCAATAAAACATAGAAAGTGAATGGCCTGTGATTTGCCCTGTCTGTGGCAATGGGTCAGGCAGCCCCGGACGTGGGGTCCTGGCTTCTTGTGGTTCCCACACAAAGCAGCTCCTGGTGGGTGGCTCTTCTCGGCGTTGCCCCAAGTCTGTTGAGACCCAGGGCCTTCCGGGGAGCTGCCGGCAGCCCAGCACGAATGCTTTGCTTTGCATCATGCTGAGGGGCTCCTGCCAGCCCCTGCCTGCAGCTGTGGGGCTGTGTGGAGGCAGGGCTGTTGCACAGCACATTCCTTCTGCTACCCGCCTGCACACACAGAAGCATCCCAGATGCCAAGCACAGTGACTTAGTTTAGCTTCAGCCCATCTCCCAACTGGCACAAGCTGACCACAAAGTCCCCTCTCCTGGTAGCGGCTGGTGAAGGGCTGGAGCAGGGTGCCAGCATTCAGCTGGCGGGAGGAAGATGCTGTCTGCCTACACTCTAGGGAGTGGCTCTAGTGAGATGTGTGGCTGTGCAGACAGGCCTGGCAGGAGCTGGTCTCCCCCAGCCTCACCTCTTCTTACGTCGTCACAGAGAAGCCTGTTGATTTACAGCATCAAGTCTGTGTCACTGCCGGTGTCCCTGTCCCTGGGGCTGGCGAGTGCCTCCCCGGAGCAGAAGCAGGAGGGTGTAAGAGGGGTGGGAAGGGATGCTGGAGGCAGTGGTGGGAGCCCAGCCCGGGGCTGCTGGTACATGATTCTTTTTCTCATTCTTCCTCTTGGTCTGTCCCCCATCCTCACCTCTGTCCCTCGCCTTCCCCCGTCCCCTCCTTCCTTCCCCCTCCCTCTCTCTGCAGTGCCTGTCTCAGTGTCCCGTACCTTCGCCTTCAGCAGAGGGGACTCCCTGGCTGGCTCTCCAGGTAATGGGGCATGGCTTTGGGCAGGGACCTCCACATGTGCCAGGCTCTTTCCAGCTCCCTGTGCATGGTGCACCAAGCCCCCTCCACCCTGCATGCCGAGCAGTGCCAGGAGAGAAGCACCTACAGCACCCTGCGCCGGGCAGCCCCTCACTGGTTGGAGCATGGGTGGCAGATGGGGGACAGCAGCCCTGTCCCTGCCACAGCCTCCCCAGTAAGAGGCAAAGCCCAGGAAGAATGGGATGGGGGCAAGGGGGAGCCATGGACGGCTTGGGCTCTTTGGTGTGCAGTTTCTGTAATTTCCGGCACTTAGTGCTTGGGTTTTCTTGCTATGTGCTGCTTCTGATGACGGTTACCCACAGCCCTGCACGCATGCTGCCCTGCTTCCCTTGCTTTCTGGCAATCCGGGTAATAGAAGGGCATTTTAGCAGCAGAGCAAAGTCAGCAAGATGTTGACGTCACCTGGGCAAGGAACAAACTGCCTTTGTTCCCTAATAAATCACTGACCAAAATCCATCATGCCGCATGTCAGAGGCCATCAGTCAAAGTGAGTGACGGGCCAGCTTGCCGTGGCAGCCTCTGCTCCTGTTCTATCAGAGTTGGGGTGCACAGGAGCATGCCCTTGAGGCAGGTTAAGTAAACCCCCGTGGGCTGCCAGCTGCAACCAGGAGAATTTGTGCCAAATGCCGTGCAGAAGGCCTGCGTTAGCAGGAGAGCTGTCAGTCAGTCAGTGTGACAGGCAGGCGGCAGGCAGCAGCCCTAATCTCTGCTGCCGGTGCCAGATTGGATGCCTGCCTGCCCTCCCTTTGGTTTGCGCAGGGCTGGCATGGCGCAGAGCCTCCACCGCCAGCATGCATCAAGGAGGACCCCACCGCAGGTCCCCGCAGGGCCCCTGCCAGGCCCAGTGTGCGGGGGGTGACCGCACACAGCCGCTGGAGGTGACCGGTCCACCCTGTCCCTGCGCCGGCACTGGGGACGCAAGTGGCACCACAAGTGAGAGTGAGTGTTTGCCTCTCTGCCATCCCCTCCTGCAGTGAACAGGTCACCGTCGCGGTGCAGCGGGCTCAACCGCTCCGAGTCCCCCAACCGGGAGCACAATGACTATGGGGGCAGCACCACACAGCTCCACAGCAGCAGCAACAACATCTACACACCCGACTACTCCGTGCACATCCTCTGCGACGTGCAGTTTGTCAAGGTACTGGCTGGGCTGGTAGGGACTGTCCCACCCTGGCCACCCCTGCCCAGGCACCCTCTTGCCCTGCTGTGCCCCAGGAGCCTGGTAGGTGCCCAGCGGGCACTGGGGAGGTCTTGCATTCCTGCTGCCCAGGGGTTTGGTGCCACCAAGTCCCCAGGAGGTCCCGGTGGGGCTCGGTGCCCACTGAGCTGGGCGTGTGTGTCTGTGTGCTCAGGTCACCCGGCAGCAGTACCACAACGCGCTGGTGGCCAGCCGCATGGACAGCTCGCCCCAGTCTCCCGACATGGAGGCCTTTGACAGGGATTCAACCAAGGCCTCGACCGCACGGGAAACCCCACAGACACCCAAGGAAGATGCCACCACCCTCCTGAATGAGAGGAACAGCATCATGTGTGAGTCACCCAGCAGCATCCCTTCCCTGCCATGGGCCAACACTGCGTGTCCCCTAGGGGGACCCGCTGGCATGATGGGCATGCCACTGCTGAGACGCAGTTGCACAGGGCCCGGGGCATGTGGGCATTTGCACACACCCACCCATGGATGCTGTTCTGCACCTGCACATGCACACAGGTGCAAGTGTGCAGGCACGTAAATCCCCGTTCCCCACAAGCTCGTGCTCCCTGGGTGTCCCTGGCGCTGGGACCTGCTGCTACGGCAGGCATCCCCCTGTGTCCTGCCCCAGGGCACGGCACCTGACTGCCCTGCTGCCATGCCTGCCCTGTGTCCCCGCAGGCAGCCGCTCCGAGGGGCTGCGCAGTCCCAGCGAGTCGGTGTTCCTGCGCATGGAGGGCATCCCCTTCATCCAGGAGGAGCTGGCTGACAACGAGGAGAACAGCAAGCGGCAAAGTGAGTCTGGCTGGGGGGGACACACGACCCTAGGGGCAGCAAGAGCTGCAGTGCCCCAGGGCACTGCAGCCAGGCTGGGCTTTTGCAGACAGTGAGTGCTGCGGCACCGTCCTGGAGGCAGAGTCCCCGGGCAGAGAGGCCAGGGCCAGCTCATCGCCAAGCAGCTCCGAGGAGACACTGGGCAGGAGGCTGCTGAGACCCCTCAGAGAGGGACTGACTGGGGGGGAGGGAGCACCCAGGGGAGAGCTCTGTCCTGGCACCCCACTGCCCAGGTCAGCTGCTCCCCAGCCCTGTCCTGGGACACCCTGCATGGGGCTGGTGTGGAGCAGGGGGGGCAGTTCCCTGACAGTATCCTAGCAGCAGGTAAAACTGCACCTAGGGCTAGCTGAGGCAGAGCCAGCTGCCTGGTCCTGGCCCGACCCCATGCACCCCCTGCCCTGAGCACCCTTGGCCCCCAGCAGCCAGCCCTAGGCACTCTTGCTGCTGCAGGTGGGCGCAAGCAGCGGCCGTCGCCGGAGGGTGAGAAGACGCCAGAGGAGAGCTCCAATCTCGCCCCATTAATCACCTGAGCAGCAGCGTGGCCAGAGCACAGTGCTGGAGGCCCACGCAGACTGGAGGTAGGAAGCTGCCTCTCGGTGCAATGCTCCTTCCCCAGCAAATGGGAGGTTGCTCAATTTTAATAGCGTAAAATCAAGTTTCAAGCAGCAAAGCCAACCGACATGGTTTGGAGCCCATGCAGGCACACATGTCGCTGGGGGCTGGAGCAGGGTCAAGGGATGCAGCAGCAGACTCCAACCATCCTTGGGGCAGGAATGGATGTCGGAGACAGAGTGAGACCCTGACTTGTGTTTTCACAGCTAGAAATGTATGTCTGCGCCAATATCCTCAAGCCTGGCTAGGAAAGGTGCTGCAGGTTTGAGCAGCAGCAGGTCAGGGAGGGCAAGCTCTGGCCACCTGCACCAGGCTGCGCTTGTGTCTTCCAGGTCTGCAGCATGGGGGTCTCCTGCCGCGAGGCTCATGTTCAACAGCAGCAGGTCTGCACTCGCTCGCTGCCTGCCCGCCTGCCTGCCCGCTCGTGCCGCCCCTCCCTGCAGGACTTGTGCAGAGCCCCATCCCCAGGCAAGAAAGGATGGCCCCGTGGCGGGGCTGAACCACCCAGGCAGCCTGGACCTGCTAGCTGGAGTCCGAGGGCCCTTGCCCAGCTGCTCCCTGGTAGCATCTGGTCCCAAGGAAGAGGTGGAGAAAGGAAAGGTGAAGTGTCTGGCACAACGTCCCTGCAGGCAGAGCAGGGAGGGGCGGCCCAACCCAGAACTGCCCTTAGCATCATTTACCATCCCCACCCCAGCGAGGCCTGGAGCCCCCTCAGTGCTGGGTGCTGCACAGACGTGCTCTCCGCCAGAAGGAGAACATGCTATTTGGGGGGGTGCCACACGCAGCTCAGGGCCCCAGCACACGTTTGTGCCGTGCCTAGTGACATGCACACTCACAGTGCCTTGCGCACGCTGACCATCGACACAGCCCAGCACTCCCAAACCCCTGCTAGGCACAGGGCAGGGAGCCCAGCTCACCACCGAGCACAGCCCCCCCCCCTCCCTGGGGAGGGCCGCTCCACGCTGCATTGAACCATCCTCCTCTCCATACACGGCTGCCTGTGCGAGGGAGGCTCGCACCGAGCCTTTGGGTTGGTACAGACCAGTCAGTAGTTTTTGTAGAGGCTGAACGCAACGGGGATATTAACATTAAAAGTGATTTCTCCCTGAGCAATGCCCTGTCTGTGTCAATGGGTGTAGGGAAAGATGTGCTAACCTCTCCCACCACGCTAGGCTGCCCTCATACCCGCAGCCAGAGGTGGCTGGAGCAACAGGACTCAGTATCACTGAAGGGAGCAGGTAGAGGACCATGTCAGCAAGTGCTTCCCAATTTCTCCCTGTGAACCTGGGCTCTCTGTCACTCCTGCTGCCAGGAAAGCACTCAGCAGTGCGGAGGGTTACACCATAGCAGTGCAGACAAGGACTGGAGAAGAACAGGAGTTAATACCATGCTGTTGCAAACACAATAGCGGGATACACTTGCCAGAGTACAGCCTGACAGATAACAACAGAAACCTCATAGTCCACCAACGCTGATAGAACTTCAGCTGGAATAACTGCATCCCTGTCTGGGCACTGCCCTTCTAAGGAAACACACAGCAACTGAAAGGAGGCCAGAGGAAAGCAAGGGCTGGAAAACAACCTACCCCAAAGGCTGAAGGAAACAGGGTCACTTAATCTTAACTGCTGAAGGATGTGAAGGGGAGAGAGGAAGTTTTCAAATACATAAAAAGCTTTGCAAAGAGGAAGGGAATAATCTGTTCTCTGTTACCATGGTAAATGGGATAACGGGTAATGAGCTTACACTACAGAAAGGGAGACATTTAGGTCACTCATTAGGAAAAACAAGGCTGGTAAGGCTAGCAAAGCACTGGTACAGATCACATGTGGGGTGGGCAAGGCTCCATACCTAGAGGTGTGTAAGGACAGAAGTGTAGGCAGATGTCAGAAATAACGAGAGTTGGTTCCTTCAACTCCTTCTCCTGAGATCACCCCTAGAAGTCATCCTTTAGCCACTACCCCATCATCCCAGCTGTGGATGGACACCAAGAGGAGAAAAAGCTCCCCACCTGCACAGAGGAAAGGCTGCCTCTGGCTCACTCTCTTATGTGACACGAACACTAATCTGAAAAGAGCAAGAGACCCCATGCACTGTCTCTCTGCAAACACAGCACGGGAACAAGGCACCGTTTTCACCTTCACTGAACTGCAGCACAAGCAAAATCCATCAGGGCAGCAGTGACTATCACTGACCCAAGGAAAGGGGCTGTTCCCCTTTCTTCACCAAGATCTTGGCAGGAGGCGGCTCTATCAGGGTAGTAATATCAGCTCACAAATAGATCTGCAGTGACTGCAGGGAGCGGAAGCAGACGGTCTCAGCTCTTTTCCAGTGCCAGAATCACAGGCTGTTGCTGGCAGGCCCTGCTGAAGCCAGGGGGAGTAGGTGGTGGTTCACCAGGGGCCTGCTGAGGAGAAGGAACAGGAAAGATCTGCTTTTTGACACATTAGCGGCAGGCCAGGAGCTCTGGGCCGGGGCAGGATGGCCAAATGGATGGGCAAAACACAACCATCCAGAAAGCAAGCACATACAGACAGGACAGACTAGACAGCACAGGGCAGGGGCGCAGAAAGAGGAACACAAGATGGACATGGGAGGAACTGGTCAGCTTCATGCAGAGTCACAGGGAGCTCTCAACTACACTCTCCCAATAGGACTGTGCCCCATTAGTAACAACCGTGATTGTCAAAGATGCAACACACCACGAGGGAGAAAGGGAAAGCCTTGAAACAAACTAAGGACAAACCATGACGCTGAGGCTTTAACCTCAGCCTAGGAAGAGGCTAGCACAGCCTGAAGGCATGACATCACACAGGCAGGGGTAGTGTTCAGAGACGGAGGTTTAATTTTCTGTCAGCAACACAAAGAAGCAATTATCACAATTACGAATGTTTGCTCGCATAAGGCTCAGAACCGGGTGGGGGAAAGCCAGCAACAGCTTCTTCACCCCTCCCCAAAATACTACGGAGTGACATTAGTTCACAAGACATACGAGATCCCAACCGATTGGTCTGTTATCCCACAGCGCATTGCACTGGTACCGGACTTCGCCTAAATGAAACTGATCAGTTACATGGAGTTGATTTGGATGTGCTAAAGATGCAGCTCTAATTGCCTGAAGACCAGGCTGCTGTCAGTCAAACAAGAGCCAAGGCGGCTCATGCTGCCCCCACCCTCCTGGGGGCACTGGCTTACCTTATTGCAAGGGGTATTTCAAAAAGGTCAAAAGATGATTATCCCTGATTGAGCTACTGCTCCCATCTTTATTAAACCCCAGGAGGTGTGGGACAAGGCAAGCCATGAGCAGGGAAAGACAGACTACACACTACAGCTTTGGTGACTTCATTTAAGTTTGGTTGTTCATGTGCTTCATTGGATTTTTGTGACGGCTTCATGGATGGACTTGGCCACATAGTCCAGGTTCTTGGTAGTCAGGCCACACATGTTGATGCGCCCACTAGCCATCAGGTAGATGTGTTTTTCCTTGATCATGTACTCCACTTGCTTAGCTGGGGAAACAATTGGACATCAGGTCAGAGCAGTGACCCCACCGCTCAGAAAAGCCCAAAGAACGAGTCAGGGCTGCTTGAATCTTTCACAACAAGCAGAAAACTTCCAGCACTGGCCACTAAAATGCTGCCTGATGCTTCATCCCTGCCCAGCCACAGAGGCAGTGGTACCAGGACTCCAGTGAGATCCCCGAGAGATTCCTGCCTGGACTGCTTCAGCCCAGTTCACCCCCACCGAAACCGCCCTCACCCAATCCTCCCTTCACCAGGCCACTTGGTACTTACGGTTCAACCCTGTGAAGCTAAACATGCCGATCTGCTCTGTGATGTGGTTCCAGGTGCCCGGGGTCCCAAGGGACTCCAGGCGAGACCGGAGCTCTGACCGCATGAGCAAGACCCGATCTGCCATCGTCTTCACATTGTCCTTCCTGCAGCAGGCAGGAAGCAGAGCGTGAGGACAGGTACCTGTCTGGTTTGGAGCCATCTGGCCAAGCCTGGCACTCAGGGAGACAGCTTCTCCCCCTTTCCCTCTCCCGCCGGCCCTGGCAACACGTACCACTCGGCAAAGAGCTGTGGGGAAGAAAGCGTAGTTGCCACAATGCGCGCTCCCTGGGAGGGAGGGTTGGACCAAGTGGTGCGCACAATCTTCTCCATCTGGGAAAGCACACGCTGCACATTGTCGGCGTCCTTCCCCACCACAGTCAGGTTCCCCACACGTTCATCTGTGGACAAGCCAAGAGACATGAGCCATTGGTCCCACACATCACGGCAAAGCAGAGCTCTCCCCACCCCCCCAGCATGCCAGCCCCATCTGTCTGGGTATGATGCTACTGGGCCAGCTTACTGCCAGACACTCACTGTAGAGCCCAAAGTTCTTGGAAAACGACTGTGCACAGAAGAGCTCAAAGCCCTCGGAGACAAAGTATCGCACAGCCCAGGCATCCTTGTCCAGGCTGCCAGAGGCAAAACCTTGGTACGCCGAGTCGAAGAACGGAAACAGGAACCGGCGCTGCAAGGAGGAACAGTGTTAGAGGGAAACCCCTCCCCCACAACCTTCACTTTACCCCCCGCTGTCCCCGCAGGAGGGAAAAATGACCACTGAGATTCCGGGTGAATACAAAGGAAACATGGTCTGACAACACCAGACCGGGATATTTTCTTTCTACTGGGGTAAAGGAATAGGAAGACTAAAGTGGTCAAGAAAAGATCAGATGCGGGAGAAAACTGCATTTGAGGACACAGGCACAAGAGATGCACCACCTTATATCCTACTATCCAGCACCTGTGAAAAGCAGGTACCCATGGAGAATCTTTCCAGCATGAGAAACCTCACTGCAGCCCATGCCACAGAGTTTGAAAACAAGAACTTGGAGGCACAAGCAGAACTGTGACGCTTCTATCCTCCGAGCACA